GTGTGTGTGTGTGTGTGTGTGTGTGTGTGTGATGTTGCAAACATGTCAGGGATGAAGATGATGAAGAAGAAGACAGGCCGAATTAAACACCAGATGTAACTCAAAGAATTTTGTTTTTAATCTGATCTTAAATGTGTTTCTCACACAGCTCTGTGATTTTAAACAGACTAAAGGTCAGTCTGTTAGCAAAATATCTMATTCATCACTGGATGGATTTAACTCAGAGCAATCAGAAGATCAGACCCTCAACATGGATCCTCTCTGGTTCTGAAGAGGTCCTACCAAAGAGCTCTGGATCCACTGAACCACTTCAAGTCTCATAAAACTTCTCCAGATCTCCTCGATCCTCGTAGACCTGTGAGGATCTTCTGCTGTGGAGACAAAGACCTCCAGAGGTTCTTCTGGATCCATCACCCAGACCCCTCATCCTTCTTCAGAGAACATTTAAACCCAGCCATCATGAAGACTCAAAAACATTTCCTGAAATGTCTCTTCTTCACTTTTACCCCCCAGGAGTCTTCAGGACCTTCAGGACCTTCAGGAGCCTTCAGGAGCCTTCGGGAGACTTCAGGAGCCTTCGGGAGACTTCAGGAGCCTTCAGGACCTTCAGGAGCCTTCGGGAGCCTTCGGGAGACTTCAGGAGCCTTCAGGACCTTCAGGAGCCTTCGGGAGCCTTCAGGAGACTTCAGGAGCCTTCAGGAGACTTCAGGAGCCTTCAAGAGACTTCAGGAGACTTCAGGAGACTTCAGGAGACTTCAGGAGACTTCGGGAGACTTCAGGAGCCTTCAGGAGCCTTCAGGAGCCTTCAGGAGACTTCGGGAGACTTCGGGAGACTTCGGGAGACTTCGGGAGACTTCAGGAGCCTTCGGGAGACTTCAGGAGCCTTCAGGAACTCCAGGACCTTCTCAGCTTTAGATCCAACAAACTCCTTAAATGTTCTGCATGTTTCTGGTTTCAAACCTGGACCATGAGCAGACCTTCAGACCTGAAGGGTTCTTCCTCAGCTTGGAGGTAAAGGCCTGAGACTCTGAGTGGTCTGAAGCTCAAATAAAACTGCTTGAGTTCCTTCAAACCTTCAGAAGACAGATACTGTTTCAGAACCCATCTCAAAGATCCTCTGTGGGGTCCTGTTTGGATCTTCAGAGCTCAGTAGAAGCCGAGACCTTCAGGATGTTCCTTCAGCTCTGATCTTCAAACATTTCTGGAAACTTCAGGAACAATATGAGTTTCAGAACCAGTCAGTCTTTACAACTCTTCTGCTCCGGTCTCTGAGCAGCAGATTCTGATGGACCTGGAGCAGAACCAGGGCGCCACACGCTGGACAGATCCAGGTTCTGCAGGAGAACTGGCTGCTGGTTGTTTGTTTCAGAGAAAATAGAAGTGTGACATTAACACAACTTGAACACAATAAATTAAAAAAAAAACTGTTATAAAATGTAATGTTTGACACACGTCTGAACATCTAACTGCAGATTTACTTCTTCGTTTCAGAACAAAAAACTATTTTTAAACTGTTGTTATATAAATGATCACACAGGAGAGTTAGTCTGGGCTTTTATTTTGAAGTTTGGCTCCATTAAATGWAAAAGAAATAAACAAGTGAACATGTTTTTTCTCTGCTCAGGAGGATTCATGTTGGTCTGTAACCATCCTGTCCATAAGAACATTTTATTTATTTTATCTGCTCAGATTACAAAGGAAGTAACTAAAGTATAAATACTCTTTCAGATCCGTTAGATGAGTTTGGTTAACGAGGTTCTGTCAGACGTTAACGAGTTTCTTCATAAAGCTTTGTCCCGTCAGATCGATGAAAAACTCAAAATGTTCAGGCTGAAACAGATCAAGGAAGATCTTACRGACCGGGACAGAACCAGGAGCAGGAGGAGGTCAGACCCAACAGAACCACGAGACAAAGACAGGTTCCTGTGGGTGAAGAGAGGCAGCTCTGTGCAGGTTTAGGCTCATTTTACACATTTTATCACCTGAGGTGTCTGAAAATGATCTGAAGCTAAAGAGAGTCATCTAGTGGTTGAAGGAGATGCTGCAGGTCAGAACCACAGAATCAGCAGATGTATTTTACTCTGAATAGTTTTTGTTCAAACTTACAGAGTAAACAGATCAAATAAGCTAAATAAAATTGTGTCACCAGTACACAAAGACAAATGTACATTAGTCCAGATATTTTTTTATTAACTTGCCGTCATAAAATACATTTTTTTGACTTTTTAAAACTTAGGTCTTTAATAAAAACAGGTTAAAATCCTTAAACTTCAATTTCACATTTCTTTTTAAATAAGGTGTTTGTTTTTTCTATTAATTTATTAAGACACTAATTAATGAGTTAACTGTTCTAAAAACTGGACAATATTTAACCTACATCTGAGGATAATTTTAGTTCTGAACTCAGTGAGCTGCTCTAAGATCTGGAAGTTCTGCAGCAGGTGGACCTGCTGTCATCAAGCTCCTTTTATGTTTCGGTGCTAAGAATTCGAGCCGCAGTGAGACCTCCTGTCTAGACACAAGGATCTTTGTCATCATTGTGCCGTTTAATGCATCAGTTCCAAAAATGTGAGTCAGAGTGAGACCTCCTGTTCAAACGAGTGGATCTCTACCGTCGATAAGCTGTTTGTATACATCGGTTCCTTGAATTTGAGACAGAGTGAGAGCTCCTGTAAGTGGATCTCTGCAATCATTGAGCTTTTTTCATGATACATCGGTACCGTGAATTGGAGTCGGAGTGAGACCTCCTGCTCCCGGTCCTTTGACAGCTGCTGTGTGTAACGGAAGACATTTTGAGCTGCTGCCGTCGGTCCGGTTCGGTAGTGGGACTATCAGGCTGGGTTCGGGACTAGGTGCTGAAGATTCGGTGAAATCAGAACAGATCTGTCGGGACACCCGGTGTCGTTTCAACTAGCGGATGTGTAGTCAGTTACAAAGATAGTAAAGTCCTGGATGCTAGTTAGTTAGCGTCACCTAGCCGGCCTCCTCCTCCTCCTCCTCCTCCTCCTCTTCTTCCTCCTCCTCGGCAGTCTGTCCCTTCTGTCAGACACAATGGCTTTAAAACGAATTTCTAAGGTAACTCTCAGCTTTATTTGATTTAATCCAGACCGAACCGGGCTGCATTGCGCGGCCGGGTTAGCGTCATGTTAGCAGCGTTAGCTTCTGACCCGGACCGATGGAAGGAGGAAAAGGCAGGAATCATTCTGCGGTTCGGTACCGGACGGACGGACGGGACACTGTGTGTGACCGCTCCATGTTTACACGGTTGACGGCGCGGGTTGGACGGAATCGGCAGGTTCTGTTCAGAGGTTCTGGTCCGGTCCGACAGGCCGAGAATTCAGTTTTATCTGGTTTTCTAAAAAACAGTTAATTTTCACTGACAGGTGACTAAATAAATCAGATTTACCTGATGAGTGAAGATTTAAAGAAATAAAACCAGCTGAGATCAGAACTTCAATAAACTGGGTCCAGTCCTGATCCAGAACCTGCTGCAGCAGCAGAATCTGTTCCATCAGGTCAGCTCTCTGAAGGTCCAAACACAGCATTTCTGTCAGGTTCTGGACCTGGACTGGACCGCTGAGTCCTTACAGTGGACCTCGTGGTCCGAGGAGCCCAGACCCTGATCCTGCACCACCAGGACCTGACCTGACCTTTGACCTGCTGACTGAGTACAGTCTGACAGGAGCTCACTGCACGGTCCACCCTTCAGGGTGAATGTGTTGTGTGAAACACTTGTACAGTTTTTTGTGTTTTGTGTTGTAAGGATTAGAGAACTGCTCAGGTCCAGATAAAACCTGTCTTTTCTAAAACCAGAATAATAATTATTTCATTTATTTAATCTGATCCTGTTCACATCGACTGTCACAGCTGCTGAATCTGTTTGATTTATATTTAAATAAAAACATGATTATTGTAAGGTTTAAAACACAAACACACAACTCTGTGTGTTTATAGATTTAATGTAACAAACTTTAATAAAAGACTCGTTTTGTCTTTGAACCACAACTTCTGTCACTCAGACGGATCTTTAAACGTCTCCTGAACTCGACCCCACCTGAAAGTTGAGCTGGGAGTCACA